GGGGAAAGATGTGATGAATCACGGTGCTGGCACAGCCATTCCCGCCAGGAATTCCCACCTGGAAGCAGAGAGCCCCGTTGCGGTCGGCGTCGAAGGCGTCGAACAAGAAGTGGGCGTAGGAGCTGGCGTCTGCGGGGGAAGGGGGACGGTGACTCCCCCGGGACTGGGGTCGGGCCATTTCCCAATGGGCCCCCCCAGACCCTCGTGCCGGGTTTGGGGACCCCCCGACTCACCGCCTTGAGGGAAGAACCGCGAGTAGATGAGTGTGAAGGTTTCCTCATCCACGAGGCCGCTGGGACATTCCTGGGAAGGGGAGCGGCGCCGGTGACCCCGAAGAAAGTGGGGACCCAGGGATTTGGGGTGTCGGACCCCCAGACTCACGTTCTTGAAGCCACGGTAGAGGGATTGAAGCTCCGACTTGGTGAACTTGGTCCGAGCCAGCAGCTGCTCCAGCCCCTCGGGTTGGTGCCGGATGGTCGGGAGCTCCACGTCGGCATCGCCGCTGTCTGCCAGGAGAGAGCCCCGGGCAAAGATCCCCCTTAGGAACACCCCCTGCACACCTCAACCCACCCACAGCCCCCTAAAACCGCCCCCGTCCCCCTAAAACTATGGCCCAGCGCCTCGGCAGAGCCCGAATCCCCCTCGGGACCCTGGAACGCCGCGGGTGTTGCATCCCGAGGTGTTTCCAGCATCCCGAAGGCGCAGAACGTTCCCGAGCCGCCTCTTAGCCACTGCCGCTCCGGTCCGGCCCGGTGGAAGGTAATTAATAAATGATGGTTCATTAATAATTTCAGCCTGGGAAGCCCCTGTGGAGCTGCTCAGCGAAGGGGGGTGTCAGCAATTTTGGGACGGGATTGGGAGCCTGGAAAATTCTCGGGGGCTGTCAGAGGGGGGTGAACCCCCAGCTCCTGCTGTGAGGGGTCTCAAGGGACTTGGGGGGGATTGGGGGTCCCTGATGTCCCATCTCAGGGGGTTTAAGGGGGCAGAGGGAGTGGGGGACCCTCATGTCCCCTCTGAGGGGAGGTTCAGGGGCTGATGCAGGATTTGAGGCTCCCTGTGTCTCACCTCTGGAGGTTTTGGGGGTCACTGTGGGGTCGAGGTCCCCCAGAACCCCATCTCGGGGGCTTCTCGGGGTTCAGCACCAGCTCAGAGCCCTCCCAGCCCACCTTGGGGAGGTTTGGGGGTCACTGGGGGTCCCCGTTATCTGTTTCTGGGAATTAACGGGGAGTGGGGTGTGGGGAGGTCTCTGGGGTGAAGGTGCCCACCCCCCCGGGTGTTTGGGGGGCAGCGCAGCCCCTCGGGGAGGGTCGGAGCACAGCTGGGCCATGACGCTGCTGGAGGGGACCTGGGGGCTCTGCCCGCTCCCCCCGCACTCCCAAATCCTCAACCTTCACCCCAAACCCTCCCGAGGGGGAACCCCAAAAACAGCCGGTTCTACTCCAGGGGAACCAATTAGAGGTCAGCGGGTCACTTGGTGCTGGGAGGAGGGTCGGGGACACCCCGGGATGGGGGGGTTGAGAATCCATTTAATAAAATAATTAAGATTAATTAAGGTTGG